AGCATGTGATTGTGTAGGTAGACTCGACTGGCCTGGAGATAGGCTGACAAAACACGTAACAGGATGTCTAATATAGGAGGGCACCTGTAAATAAAGCAAATAGACTCAACTACAACAAAACACGTAAAAGGATGTCTAATATAGGAGGGCACCTGTAAATAAAGCAAATAGACTCAACTACAACAAAACACGTAACAGGATGTCTAATATAGGAGGGCACCTGTAAATAAAGCATACAGGCTCAGTGTTAGGTAAACAAAGAATATCACCAAAAAATGTAACAAGATGTCAAATATTAGGGGGCATCTGTTAAGGTAAATAGTAGTGCAACTATCAATATGTATAAATGTAACAAATAGGCCTAAACTAAAGAAACAGAAACTAGCAGAACCATGTAACAAGATGTCAAATACTGGAGTGAAGAAATTAAGAACTATCATAAAATGCTTAACAGGATTTCCAATCAAACATCCCAGCTTTTATTTTCTATAACAAAGTTTCCTTTGAGAGTCCTGACATTGGAAAAAAGCCTTTATGAAATTGCAATGTTTTAGAACTCTTCAGAAAACAAGTGTGGGGTTCTGTAAATGTATTACATTTGGCTGTGTATTCTTTTTAGCACTTTTGGCGGGAATACACTTCCGCTAATTCAAGTACAACTCTAAATGTTTTATACTTATTTACATAAATAAGAACGATAAGAAATACGCTAAATTAAATCTACGCTAACTTGTTCAAAACTCATTTTCCGCCAAATATCGTACACGCTAAATGTAATATATTTACAGTATTTGAGAAAAAAATTTGGGTTATGTTTTACAATCTTAGATAAAAAGTGATGAGGTAATTCATGGCAACATAATGCATTGACTAGCCATATCAGTGGGTCTACAGTGATATCATTACCTGGAGATAAATTCATCACACCAGAGTACTTTCTATAGGTGACAATAATGTCATTACCTGAAGACACGTTCATCACATCTGAGTATTATCAGAGGGTCTATAGTGATGTCATTACCTGAAGACACGTTCATCACATCTGAGTATTATCAGTGGGTCTACAGTGATGTCATTACCTGAAGACACGTTCATCACATCTGAGTATTATCAGTGGGACTACTGTAATGTCATTACCTGAAGACACGTTCATCACACCTGAGTATTATCAGTGGGTCTACTGTAATGTCATTACCTGAAGACACGTTCATCACACCTGAGTATTATCAGTGGGTCTACTGTAATGTCATTACCTGAAGACACGTTCATCACATCTGAGTATTATCAGTGGGTCTACAGTGATGTCATTTTCTGTGTATGGAGTCACCTGGAATGTTGTTCTCTCTGACAGTCGCAGTGAATTCACAGTGGACAGTCTTAAACTGAAAACAGAAAATAATAAAATGAAGACAATTTTCAAGTCATTTCATCAATTTACTAAATACTTCATCATACAATGATTTTTTTTATTAATATGTATTTTTAATCACATTCAAAGATGGAAATAATGAAAGAAATCTCAATTACATGAGTTTGTATAGTATTTTAACATAACTATATATATATATTTAAAAAATTGCTGATCACCCTATATCTTTGCATGTAACTAGTACAAAAAAGGAAGAACCATAATCATTCACAATTTTCAATCACTGCCATTTAATCGTAAGTTATCAGTGTTTTACCTTCGTGGAGAGACACCGTGAAGAAGGAACCAGACTTTCTTGATCAGGTCCACTATTTTCCTGGGCACCACCTCATCCAGCATAATGGGGAGAGAGGAAACCACGGGCTCAGCAAACTGTAACAAGTCTGGGGCGGACATCTTCAGCATCGCCTGCAGCTGGGAGATCATCTTCATTGGACAGGTAGTTAGATTCCTCAGTGCTGTAAACAGAGGAAATTTAAATCAATATTTTGACCTCTTTTCAAACTGCAAACCATCTTCCCAATGAAACCAAACTCTAATGCTTCTTTAATATAATAACCTTCTTTTTAGCAGATAGACAATGCTGGCCTACAACACACATGAGTTGCACCCAGATCTTACCATCGTTGAAGTTATCGATGGTACAGGGCATATTGTACATGACTGAGGTCTCTGCCACTAGAGATTCTCTGATCAGTTTCTCCTCCAACCAGTCCTCAACGACACACAGGTGTGGATAGTGGGTCACCAGCAACCTATTAATAGACAAACACAGATCTGGATAGTGGGTTACCAGTAACCTATAACAAGAGGCCCAGGGGCCACAGCGCTCACCTGAGCACATCAGGCTTGAATTTACTCCACCCCCCCCCCCTCCAGGCATTCATCATTTGAACAAACTAGAATCTACACTACCTGAGGATGATTCCATATAAATATCACTAATCATAGCTTTGAAGTACTTGAAAAGAAGATTTTAAAAGGTTTCCCTATATATCCCTATGAAAAACTTGGGTCGGCCATTTTGGCCCCACCCTAGCCCCGGGGGTCATGATTTGAACAAACTTGAATCTACACTACCTGAGGATGATTCCACATGAGTTTCATCTTTCCTGGCCCAGTGGTTCTTGAGAAGAAGATTTTTAAAGATTTTTCCTATATATTCCTATGTAAAACTTGGGTCGGCCATTTTGGCCCCACCCTAGCCCTGGGGGTCATGATTTGAACAAACTTGAATCTGCACTACCTGAGGATGATTCCACGAGTTTCATCTTTCCTGTCCTAGTGGTTCTTGAGAAGAAGATTTTTAAAGATTTTTCTTATATATTCCTATGTAAAACTAGGGTCGGCCATTTTGGCCCCACCCTTGCTCCGGGGGTCATGACTTGAACAAACTTAAATCTGCACTACCTGAGGATGCTACCACATGAGTTCCATCTTTCCTGGTCCAGTGGTTCTGGAGGAGAAGATTTTTAAAGATTTTTCCTATATATTCCTATATAAAACTTGGGTCGGCCATTTTGGCCCCACCTTTGCCCCGGGGGTCATGATTTGAACAAACTTAAATCTGCTCTACCTGAGGATGATTCCACATGAGTTTCATCTTTCCTGGCCCAGTGGTTCTGGAGAAGAAGATTTTTAAAAATTTTTCTTATATATTCCTATGTAAAACTTGGGTCGGCCATTTTGGCCCCACCCTTGCCCCGGGGTCATGATTTGAACAAACTTGAATCCACACTACCTGAGGATGATTCCACATGAGTTTCATCTTTCCTGGCCCAGTGGTACTGGAGAAGAAGATTTTTAAAGATTTTTCATATATATTCCTATGTAAAACTTGGGTCGGCCATTTTGGCCCCACCCTTGCCCCGGGGGTCATGATTTGAACAAACTTGAATCTACACTTCCTGAGGATGCTTCCACTTGAGTTTCATCTTTCCTGGCCCAGCGGTTCTGGAGAAGAAGATTTTTTTTAAAAATGCCATTAATTTTTAACAAATTCATGATTATCTCCCCTTGGAAAAGGGCGTGGCCCTTCATTTGAACAAACTTGAATCCCCTTAACCCAAGGATACATTGTGCCAAGTTTGGTTGAAATTGGCCCAGTGGTTCTTGAGAAGAAGATGAAAATGTGAAAAGTTTACGACAACAACGACGACAACGACAACGACAGACAACGGACAAATTTTGATCAGAAAAGCTCACTTGAGCCTTCGGCTCAGGTGAGCTACAAGAGGCCCATGGGCCACATCGCTCACCTGAGCATTGTGGCTAGGAAAAAGTAGTAATTGGTTTACTATTGAAAAGTTTGAATCCAAAAGTTTGGCCCCGCTCTACCCCCGGGGGTCATGATTTGAACAAACTTGAATCTACACTACCTGAGGATGCTTCCATATAAATATGAGCAATTATGGCTTTGCTATTCTTGAGAAGAAGATTTTTAAAGAATTTTCCTATCTATTTCTATGTAAAACTTTGGTCGGCCATTGTGGCCCCGCCCTACCCCAGGGGTCATGATTTGAACAAACTTAATTCTACATTACCTGGGGATGCTTCCATATAAATATGAGCAATTATGGCTCTGCTGTTCTTGAGAAGAAGATTTTTAAAGAATTTTCCTATATATTTCTATGTAAAACTTTGGTCGGCCATTTTGGCCCCGCCCTACCCCCGGGGGTCACGATTTGAACAAACTTGAATCTACACTACCTGGGGATGCTTCCATATAAATATGAGCAATTATGGCTTTGCTGTTCTTGAGAAGAAAATTTTAAAAGAATTTTCCTATATATTTCTATGTAAAACTTTGGTCAGCCATTGTGGCCCCGCCCCACCCCCAGGGGTCATGATTTGAACAAACTTGAATCTACATTACCTGGGGATGCTTCCATATAAATATGAGCAATTATGACTTTGCTGTTCTTGAGAAGAAGATTTTTAAAGAATTTTCCTATATATTTCTATGTAAACTTTTGGTTGGCCATTATGGCCCCGCCCTACCCCCGGGGGTCATGATTTGAACAACCTTGAATCTACACTACCTGGGGATGCTTCCATATAAATATGAGCAATTCTGGCTTTGCTGTTCTTAAGAAGAAGATTTTTAAAGAATTTTCCTATATATTTCTATATAAAACTTTGGTCGGCCATTTTGGCCCTGCCCTACCCCCGGGGGTCATGATTTGAACAAACTTGAATCTACACTACCTGGGGATGCTTCCATATAAATGTGAGCAATTATGGCTCTGCTATTCTTGAGAAGAAGATTTTTAAAGAATTCTCCTATATATTTCTATATAAAACTTTGGTCGGCCATTGTGGCCCCGCCCTACCCCCGGGGGACATGATTTGAACAAATTTGAATCTAGACTACCTGAGGATGTTTCCCCATAAGTTTCAACTTTCCTGGCACAGTGGTTCTTAAGAAGAAGATTTTTAAAACATACCACCAAATTTTCACTAATTCTGAATTATCTCCCCTTGAATAAGGCCATGGCCCTTCATTTGAACAAACTTGAATCCCCTTCACCCAAGGATGCTTTGTGGCAAGTTTGGTCGAAATTGGCCCAGCGGTTCTTGAGAAGAAGTCGAAAATGTGAAAAGTTTACGGACAGACAGACAGACGGACAGCTGGACGGACAGACGGACGCCGGACAAAATGTGATCAGAAAAGCTCACTTGAGCCTTCGGCTCAGGTGAACTAAAAAAGAGAGGGATAAACACAACGCAAATCTACCAAACAAAGGAGAGGATAGTGGGTCACCAGTAACCTATAAATAGAGTGATATTATACACATCATACAAATCTATCAAACACTGGTGTGGATAGTGGGTCACCAGTAACCTATAAATAGAGTGATATTAATCTATCAAACACTGGTGTGGATAGTGGGTCACCAGTAACCTATAAATAGAGTGATATTAATCTATCAAACACAGGTGTGGGTAGTGGGTCACCAGTAACCTATAAATAGAGTGATATTAATCTATCAAACACAGGTGTGGGTAGTGGGTCACCAGTAACCTATAAATAGAGTGATATTAATCTATCAAACACAGGTGTGGGTAGTGGGTCACCAGTAACCTATAAATAGAGTGATATTAATCTATCAAACACAGGTGTGGGTAGTGGGTCACCAGTAACCTATAAATAGAGTGATATTAATCTATCAAACACAGGTGTGGGTAGTGGGTCACCAGTTACCTATAAATAGAGTGATATTAATCTATCAAACACAAGTGTGGATAGTGGGTCACCAGTAACCTATAAATAAAGAGGATATCTCTTGGGTCAAACTTAAAGCAGACTGGGCCCAAACAAAGGACAGGCAACCCTGAGCATGAGAATTCTACATAAGGATGTATGTTACTAGCATAACATCACTGAACACTATTTACCTAATCAATTGGTAATAACTGCATGAAATTGTTAAGTTAAATGGAATACCTTTCTCTCACACTCTGCAAAGGAGAGACTGTGATCCAAAAGAGTTTTTGCATACTTTAATGAGTAACTCTTAGGTATATACATGTATGTGACAAGTGTCAGTGGCTTACTTAAGGAGTGGTGAGAATAAGCCAGCATACTGCTCCTGCTCTCTCTGAGCTGTCTGTAACAGGAAGTTGATTGGAATCTGGGCCAGCAGGGTGTCATGGTAGGACTTCACCTTCCTGTTGGACATCACTGAAAACAGTCAAACTGTATACATTAAACCAATAAACATGTAAAGTCAGGAAAGGTTCTCCTACATCATTTATTTTTATATACTGTAGAAGTACTATTATTTATTTTTATTTATTTACACTATGTACGCAGTCAAAAATTTTTCGCGGAAATTTGTCCAAGCGTACTTTTAATACAATGTAAGGATAAAGTGACAATCTAGAAAACCCGCGTAATTTTCTACCTGCGGATTAAACAGAAATTGAGATTTCGCGAAATTATGACCCCGTGGAAAAAAGTACTTCTACAGTAATACATACAATTCCATAGGTCAGAATTTTTGAGAAATACAGGTGATATAATTTTTCAGAATAAAGAGTCCATATCTTACCAAGAGTTTTCATGTGTGTCAATACAATGTCTTCATAATGGAGTAAATAGTAAAGTATGAGTAGCTGGGGAGCCAGTTCTGATTTTGAATTTGAATTTGATGACTCCTCTCCTTCTGATTTTGACCAATGAAATACTGAGGATTTGTAAACATTGAGTATTTCCTCCTCTGTGATTGGTTCATTTAAATGATCAGTCTTGGTGCTTTTGATGACAGTGGAGGTGACATAAACATCAATAAGGGAGGTAACTAGTGGATGCAGTGGAGTAGAACAGTTACAGATCTGCTGATATATCCAATCCTACAATGGAAAGAAATTATAAATGGAAGAAATAAGACCAGATAATAAAACACTGCTTAACAATTATCATCAATGTATGATGTATGTATGGTTAAACAAGGCAAAGTCACATCAAGGTACAACCTCACTGATGGACTTTCTGTATAGCTGAGGGTGATATTGGAAGAAAATGAAAGAGCCTAAGTCAAAAAGTACACAAATTGGCCTGATTTCAAATTAGGACAATTTTTGCTCTGGATATATCTTCAGACTATATATTTTTTCAAAACAACTTTCTTTATTCAATATCCCTTTCATATTTTCCGTAAGAGGTCTTTAAAATAGCATATGTATATGGCCGAATTTCGTACATTTTACGGAACGTCATAATGACGTTGTGAATTTTAACACTTCTGAGTTTTCATAAATAAAGTGGTAAATTACTGAGTATTTATTAATTGATGAGAATTTCACAAAAATGTATTTTACAATATATTACAGATAGTGCTTTGATATTTTGTTAATAAAAGATAACTTAATTTGAAATTATAACGTCGGATATAAACAAGCTTAGGTATATGTACAAGTGAAAATGACAGCGTGTCCGTTCAGCGCCCGTGTGCTTATCGCGGTACACGTAAATAATTAGATACATTGTAACGTTTCATTGTTTGACTTTGATAATGTTGTAAAATAATAAATTCATTAATAATTTACACAAACTTTATGCATTTGATATTTCTTTATGCATCTGATATTTTAATCAACCTGTATATATAAAGCCAAGTACAGGAACGTAGCAATCGGGTGGGGGGTGGGGGGCGTTAAATGTTAAAATGATAATAGTACCACATATAGCGTATAGAACACTGCGTACAATGTTTATTCCTCATATGTAAGACAGTCCCGGCATTCCATACACATTCTCCAACAAAGAAGACCTCTAAAGAATTTTACGCATGGCCTTGTGAAGATATTCTTTTCGTCAAAGTAATCATCCTCATGTTTTAACGAAATGTTACCACGATCATCAATTGCAGAGTTTTTAGAAGAAATAATAAATGGATTTATTTTAAATAATCTATACAGTGTGTTTATTGACAATCATGCACTAGACAGGGTTATGAAGATTCATTTTTCCCTGTCATCTTTCTACTTTTCAACATTTTCAAATATTTTCGACACTTGTGTATTTTCGAGCAGTACCTATGCTTCGTTGAACGAATACTTCCGACAGCAGCATTAGCAAACTTCTAATGCAAGAACGCCGCTTAATTAGAGGCAGATCCAGGGCCGGTGCCTCGGGTGTCCCCCCCCCCCCCCCCCCCCCCCCCCCCCCCCGCTTTCGAATTTTTAAGCAAGATTTACTAAACTAAAAACACATTATTAAAATCAGGTTTCCTTATTTTGTGTGTGTGAGGGTGTGTGTTTTTGTGAATTCAACCTTAGGGCAGGGTGCCCCTAATTTTTTTTTTATCTTGAATTATCCCTTAGGCTACATCCCAATCTATCGAAATATCACGATTTAATTAGGGACAGGCCTGTCCTGAAAGACTTCTAGGACAAAATTATTTTCTAGATGTCACTTTTGTCGGGAAATTGTTCTCTCCTATAAGTCATTTTTTGTCAAAGTGAATACATCCTATGATGAGCGATGTCGGAAACTACTCTTTTTAACATATCATTATGTCATAATTATTCATACATTAAACACAGAACAGAAACAATTCGTCCATTTTGAGATTATTCTGATTATAAATTGATACATTTATTATTTATGTAAAGGCCGGGTAAATATTACAGTATTCCTATTTCATATGTTGCCTTTTTAACAGGATGCTTATTTTGTTTGTCAGTAGAAGACACCCCAGCCCTAAAGCATACACATGGAAAACGAGGCCACAGACTTGGGCTGATATACTTGAAAATCACGATTTGATGAATATATTGGATCATTTACTAAGAATGATTTTTAAAAAAGCATAATCTACATATTGAAATATTAGTACCCCCTCTATCACCCCTTCGCGCGCTCTCTGGAACATGCTGTCTACCTTTTGATATTCAGACTAAATGAAAAATATCAACGTCTGAGCAAAATATACCCATAAAAAGATTCAGAAACATCTACATCTAACCTGTATTTAGCTATGTTATTGTAGACATTTACAAGTTAATCGCTCGCGATCTACCCGATGCGTGATAATGATTATGTTAAACACAGAATATATTGAGTACATGTAAGCCTATGTACTAACTTTAAATAGTAATAATGTTATATTTATTTAAATTTTCAGCATTACATTTTTCAAAAATTGATATTTTTTGAACATCTAGAGTTATTGATCTACATTCATTACGAGTACGAAAAATATTGAAGTTCCCTAAAAACTTTGACGTCATTTTCTGCACATTGTGACGTCACGAGAAAAAAAATTGTCGACTTGTCAAATGTTGCAAAAAAAGCAACAAAGCAAATACACCTATTCTGGTTATATAACCTGGCTACTGTGGAGGGCTTCTGTTAAACAATGGTCCACAACAGACATGCAGATGTGGAAAACACAGATTAAAGCGAATACATTTCTACTTTTTTATGTTTTTAATTAAACTAAGAACTAGATCAAATTCTATTAAGCCTACCCTATTTACCATGAATAAATAATGTATTTTTGCTAAAAAAGGATTTATGGTTGTGTGTACATAATTTACAGTAACTTTTTTTTATGAAATATTTAATCCTTGCAGTGCTAGGTTATAATAACATGGAATTATATAAAGGTTAATTTGTCTTCTGCATGCGCCAGCTGAGCAAAGGAGAATCATAAATATTAATTTTACACATGGGGCGCATTCCTCTCGGAGAAAAAATTTTGTTGAAAAATACGCGTAAGATACCAATGATTGATTTTAGACTTGAATTTATTTCCGAGAGGAATGCGCCCCACTTGAAATTTTAAAGTGAATCTGTAAAATCGGTGAAAAATTCCGGAAAAGTCAATACCTGTATAGGTTTTAGCCTTTACGATGCAAAAGTCAACGTCCGGTTTGACTAAATCTACCCACCCCTGCATTGACGAAGTCAAGTAGATACGGAAACAACAAATAGTTTTGAAGAAAACGATGATTTATTTTTTAAGAATTCCACAGGCCGTATATTGTACTTTCTGACTTTTGTTCTTTGAAATCTTCTGACCTGGTTCCTTCTCAATATACATATCTTGATATATTAAGAAAAAACTAACTTGATTTCTTTGTTATGATACCTTTATTGGTACTTTGTGTTTGGAAAAGGACCGGCTCTTCAGAAGTTGATAAATGCTGTTGATGGGAAGGTAACCTGTCATGTTTGCGTTTAGTCCTGGTGTCACTGGTACCTTCACCGCATGAGACGTTATCACCTACAAATACACAGGTACAACAGCATTAATTTACACTATCAAAGAAATCCCAGCATCACATCAGAAGAAGGTGACTACTGTAATTTTCTTATAAAATCTGTGGTGAACATTTCACTCTTACCTGCTCTGTAAAGATCTCATAAATAAATATCTGCCGTATTCTAGCCAGAGCATTAGCCTTCACCAGATTCTGAAATGAAACAAATACATGTATACCTTTCATGTATCTCATGTACAGGAGAGGAAGTATATCAAGGAATCATACACTGGTATGTCTAAAAACTCAGAAATAGCTGAATTAAATGAAGTGAAGAAAATTAAAGTCTGTGACTTTCTTAAAATTTACCTTTAACCCTAATGTAAGATACACAAGATCAGATATTGCTGTCATATTGTTGCTATGGAAATGGATGGCAATCAGGAACAACATTTCACCAAAAGAACAGGCACTGGAGACCTCACTAGAAGTTCACATAATATAGCTGTTACTTACTAGAATTTCACAGTAAGATACATAATCACAATTGTTCCTTCCCTTGTATCATGTGTATCAGTAATAAATACACATTGCATAACTATAGCCTCCACATCAATGCCATCAGTAGCTAAGCATGGAAATTTTTTTAACATTCCCTTTTAGTCTTTCATTCACAATATTGTGAACCAGATTTCATTTATAAAAAAAATTGCATAATTCAATTGTATGTTAATCAAATCAACACAATTACAAAGTTCCTTTTGTGCAGTAATTTTTATTATATACATTATGAATTTGAAATAGGTGTACAATGAAGAAGATCAGAAGCTACTGCTAGCATAAAACATCAAGATTTCTGTACTTACAGCTTGAATTCCTTCTCCATCAGAAGAGACCACTTGATCCAGTCTATAGCCACCTTCTCTTGATCATTGCTCCTGTGACAAAAAGTATTGCAGGGGTGTATTCATTTACAGTTTTACTGTGTTTACTTCATGAAACATTAACATGACATTAATTCTTACCCTAACAGATATGGACAAGCTATCAGCATGCACAGTCCAAGGGAGACAAATCTAGCACCAGCTTTGCTTAAAGGAGGTCTAGATGTGATTAATCTAAGCAAAATCTTCATTTCTTCATCTGTAAATCTATAAAGAAATTGCAGATTTGATCTCAGGTGTATACACTTCATTTGTTTATGCATTCTTCAGGTTCATCTCATAGATTGTTCATACAATGTGCTTTAAATGTGTTCATTTTTTAATGTTATGTTAATAATACACTCTTTATGTATCATAAACCGTATACAAATTTACTTACTTAAATGCAGCCATGCTCTTGAGTGCACAGTAGAGACGTATGAAGGCACTAGCTTTGATGGCCTGGGACTCTGATATTGTGCCTCCACCGTCAGGCAATATTGAAATCATTTGTTCCAGCAGGCACAGTCTCAAACTTTGTAACTGGGTCACTGAGGCATCTCTTTTCAACTGAAATCAATAATTTGAACTTGTGCACATGTAAATCTTAGATGTTTCTTTCCTGCATAAGAAATTCTAGAATATGTCCTGACTTTTGTTGAAAGTAAATATCAAAGTCCAAAAAAAAATTAATCAAATTTGCTGTCATACAAATGTATTGTTTTAAGGACTCGCTTATGAGTCAGACGTAAAAGAATTGGACCAAAATCCAAATTTTAGGAGAGTAAAGTGTATATTAAAACCTTTTGAAATTATGTTCATTACATGTAAAAAACATAATATGAATACGAAGAGAGTATACATGAACATTATAGATGTTTAACAAAAATTTTACACAGACATAGCAGGAAAATGTTGGTCATAAAATTGAAAGTCTGACAGTAAAAAAATCTATTGTGTAATTTGATTTGAGTTAACACATTTATATTTTATAATCACCTTTTGGCCAATTTTAACGTATTGTGAGAACCAGTCCTTAACATTTGAATTGTTGCCTAGCAACATTCCACTGACAAATCCTACAACATCTGTGTTTGAGTCTCCAGAAATTTCTGACGGGGGTTTGTCTTTATTCATTTCCAAGGTCAAGGCCACAGCTAATCCTGGCATCTTGCAATTCTCTACCTGAAATAATGAGTAAATTAGATTCTAAAATACATTCCATTTTTAAACATCACAATGATCAGTATACTGGAACATTATATATTTGTAATTTATTTGTACTCTCAAACACATGTACAGTTTTACTGTTTCCCATTAGAAATGGGATTGGACACAAGTCCCACTACCTAGAACATTCTAAACAATCTAATGACTCTAATGGTGACTCGCTGATAAGAACTTACACAGAGGGCTCTGATGTTGTACATTTCTTTTGGGTTCATCCTGGCCAGAGCGAGGAGCACTGCCATTCTCCGCTGTCCCCCGACCGTCTCCTCATCCTGTCTGTCACCGTTAGTCACAAGACTAGTACACACTGCAATAACAGACAATGTCAAGTAATATCAAACAAAGTGAATGGAATAAGAGTAACTGTAGAATCATTCCTATACATTGAATTTTATGGCAAATCTAGTATTTTCACCAAAAAAAGATTCTCAAAATATCTGTCTAAATTTCAGTTCAACACTGATAGCTACAATTCCTTCTCAGATTGCTTTAATGTCAGAAATTACCCTCTTTGTAGCAGTCTGGAGAATTTGCCACCAGACGACACAGCATCCAGTCTCCATTAGGAACATGGAGAAGGGTTTCTGAAACCTCCGTGATTGGCAACAGGGCAGGTAACTCAGCCTGGGCTATGCAGAGCACATCTGACACTTCCTCCAGATACACTAGACTCTCAAACAATTCACTGCTCTTCTGGTAAAACTCAGTTTTTGATTCTCTGACCTACAGGTGGTATGATTTTACAGACATATAAATCTTACAATTAAAGATAGGACTTGGAGTGATGATTGTCAGTTGAAAAGGTACGTTAATCAACAACTTGTTTATGCAATCACAGAGAGTAAAATGTCAACAAACACTTTTTATTAATATCTCAAACTCAGCAGTGTTTAAGATAACATAAGTTAAATCCTGAACTTAACCAGATCTGGGACATTCAACTACTTTGGCAAATCCCTGGTTTCTAACAAATCAATATAAAAGATCAGATGCATTTTGTTAGTGAATTCATTTAAAAGGGTCCCTATACTATACTGCTCACCAAAATCAAGTTGGTGAGGAGAAATGCATAAAAAAAAATATGTCTGGAGTCTCTGGACTGGGAATTGAACCTGGAATCCCTATATCACAAGTCAGGTGCTCTTCCACTGAGCTACCCAGTTCAATATCTACAGTCCATGTAGCCCAAACTTCTACATCAGTACATGCAATAATGATAGGTAAAATTGTTTTTGTAACAATCATTATTTGGAGAAGAAACATTTAATTATGATTAACATAACCACAGGCAGGCTATAGTTGTACTACCTGAGAAGCGACAAAGAGTAGTTCACTCAGTAACAATCTTAGTCTCCGAGGTGGATCGCTCCTCTCAAACTCCAGAGCTACTCCGTTCTGTAGCTGAGATATCAGGATACTTTCTGTCTGATTTCCCCCAAGTTTTGTTCTGCAAATACAATTTTTAACATTACATGATCTATTTAAACTTCTTGATGTGAAAGGGGTCATTGGTCATATATTAGCAAAGAAAAAATCATCCCACCTGAGTTGCTGTTCTTTGTTTACATCTTGTTCCAATGCGTGAAAATCTATGGAGAGTAATGCAACAATGCTGTTCACAACCTCGATGCCGGAGAGAATTTTTAGAACATCTTTTTTGGCTGTTGCCCATGATTCACTTTCATCCAATGGTTTGCAAAGAGCCATGCGAACTAAACATGGTAACACTGGACGCAGGTCCTTCTCCCGCAGTTTATTCAAAGTAGAGACATCAACATTTTGCATGGCCTGAAAAACCCTACTCTCAACAAACTCCCGCATCCTTCGTTTTATTCTAAAACCCGTCTGATTATTCAGTTTTGTCTGCTAACCATGGGCGCCGCCATTTTTTCATAGTGCAAAAAGTCAAAAAACCGTACACACGGATATTAACGGAATCTCTAATACTGAGACGGACCCCCCCCCCCCCCTTTCTCCTTATTTTCTCATTCCAAACGAAAAGTATATTTATCTTTAAAAAATAAATGATAAATATTATGTTTAATAATTCATTGTTTTTATTTATTTATTACTTATTTATTTATCTATTTTTACTTATTCATTTATTGAATTTATTAATTTCTTTCTTTATGTATGATTTATTTATTTATTTATTTCTCTGATCATTTGATTGCTCGTTTGTAGAGTAGTGTAACACAATTTTGCAAATAAATTTTGCGTAGAATTATTGGGTGTGGGTGGTGGGTGGGGGATAAGAGTGGAAAATTATCCGTATTTGTATTTTTACACTTGTCCGGAACAAAAATGGCAAGCATCCGGCAAAGCTCTGTGCCGAGTCCACAAGGTTTTCCCTTTCTAACTGCATATATTTAAATGATTCTCCAAGTTTTTTCACTGCTTTAGATTATTAAAATTTTTCTTTTACATTAACTATCACCGTTTTAAAAAGAATGAGATACAACTTAAAGAAATGAGGAAATTCGAGATGCATTTATTTTGCATTTGAGATAATCTTTTTCTTTCCTTTCTGGTGTACTTATTCTTTGGACTGAAACCATCAATTCTTTTTCATGCGTTTTGATTTATTTATAGAGACAGAGGAGCAACAGAAGCTACGATTTCAGACAGAGTTAGAATTTGTGCAATGTTTGGCAAATCCAAATTACCTCAATTGTAAGTCAGTAATTAGTCCAAAGTATCTCACATTTTCGTGGCTTTTTACGATTTGATAAGTTATGTGCCATAAAAACGTCAGAAATGACCCATTATGAAAACTTGAAATTCGCTGCATCTAACTGAATCAGCATTCTAGGGTTGTTTTTCGATACTTGCAAACAGAATTTTAAAAGTGTTAAACTCACAACTTATCAATAGTACAATACTTTTAGTACTTAGCAACATCATTTTTATGGCTCGATCAAAAAATATACAATCTTATGAAAACATTTTATCAGACTGTGGAGATTTAATTACTGTAGAAGTACTTTTTTCCGTGTGGTATTACTATTAATTTACGCTATGTACGCGGTAACAAATTTTCGGCGGAAATTTGTCCAAGCATACTTAATATAAATGTAAGGCATATAGTGACAATCTAGAAATTCCACGTAATTTTCTACCCGCGGATTATACAGAAATTGAAATTCCACGGAATTTTGACCCCGTGGAAAAAAGTATGTCTACAGTATTTTCATTTTGTGCATTTTATTGCAAATCTTATATTGAAATGTGTTTTGATATTTTCTTTTCGTCAATATTGGTGAGTACTAGAAGCATTGTGCTTTTGATAAGTTGTGAGTTTGGCATTTGATTTTCAATAGTAACTGAAATTATCTCTGGTTGGAGACTACAAAATTTCCAGTTTTCTTAATGGTCATTGGTGCCAGTTCATGTTTTCCTGGCACATAATATATCAAATAAAAAAAAAAAGTCAGGAAAATGTCTGAAATTTCGGACTAGTCAGTAATATGAAGTTGACTGTTCAGCTGAAAAACTGTAAAGCAAGAAATAACTTCATTTTACCATAAAGGTATTAATGGCTAACTTCCTTATTATATGTAACCAGGAAATGTAAGAAAACTTATGGTGGCAATTAATTGAAGAATTTTATTTTCAGTTTTAGCTCAAAGAGGATACTTCAAGGATCCTACCTTTATAAACTACCTTAAGTATCTGCAGTATTGGAAAGATCCCAAATATGCTAAATATCTCAAGTGAGGCTTCAGTTATTGATTATTTAGAAGGCCAATTTTATTTATCATCTCTTCACAGCTATACATTATTCATAAATTTAAGAAACAGAAAATCCAAGAAATATTTTATCAAAAACTTGCATCAATTATTTTACCAATATTTTTCAATTCTTTTTGTAATATTGTTTTGTTCTTTTCAAAATTAAGCTCTCAATTTGCAATTATTGCATTTTATTTAATGTACTTGTCACCGGGTTCACAGGTGCATGAAAGTCAGTCAATATATCGGGTCTCAATATCTCAGTTCGTTAGAGCACTGGCACAGTACGCCAGAGGCCTTGGGTTCAAGTCCCGGTTGAGACTTGACTTTTTACCACCGGTGACATATACTTATTTTGAAATAATGCCTAAAATGAAGAAATTTGCATGCTTATAATTAAAAGTACTTTAAATTCATCTTGAGTATGAAGTAAAACATGATTATGGACTTTTCTGGTTTTTATTAAGATACCCCCAGTGTTTGTTTTTCCTGGAGTTGTTGCAGTATGAACATTTCCGTAAGGAGTTGGTGAACTCTCAGTGTGCTAAGTTTATAGACGATCAACAGTTACTGCACTGGCAGCATTATCAGAGAAAAAGAATGGCTCTATTACACGAAGAAATGACAGCACAAAGGGCACTACAGCAGCCCAAGGAGAAGCCAGGATAACAAGAGGAATCTCTACCTTCTACTTAATGTTGAGTGTTGTAATCAAGGAATGTAATTTTGTTACACATGTATTTATATGAATAATGCTCACACAGTACTCACTCTGTGAAAAGCGATAACTAGTGAAATGCTCACAGGAAGAATTTTCATCTTATATGCTGTATGTGTCTAGATATTATGAAATTAGTATCTCTTTCACAAAAGATTTACCAGGTGATTTGTCATTTGAATTGGGTGTTGTTAACAATAGAGACTGTGTAATTGAATATTTTCTTTAAAATGGTCTTGTTAAGAATAAAATATAAGAAAACTCTATTTGTACTTTACTAGTAAATAATATTGATTTTAAAATAAAATACCGTCAAGGACATTTAAAAGATTATAGTAATCAGTACATGAAAATGTTCTCTACAACATGACTGTTGTTGACAAAAAAAAAAAACAGAATGCAAAAATATATATTTGTTACATTGATAACATACAGACTTTCATCAATAGATTTTCACTGGAGAGACTCGGCAATCATTTATTTGTGGGGATAGCCATTTGAATTTTTTTAACTTTTAGTCTTAAATTTTCCAGAAGTAACTGATTCACCAAAGAGATAAAACTTTTTTGTTCTTATTTTTATGATGAATCACTTGAGTATTCAACTTATTATTTTTTTTTTTCATTAAAAAGCAATTAAATTTTATGGTAATCAGGATTTTACCTTAAAATCATAAATATTCAACGTAAACAAGATGTTATTAACATTTTGAAGTAAGGGGGGGGGGGGGTCTGAGCACAGGCGTAAGTCAGGTTTGATGAACACAATTTTATTCATGACAATGCCCTACTTCATAAGAGTAACTTAGCTCAAAGTGTTTTGAAAGAAGAATTCTAATGCAATTGTTTTGTAAAACACATTTTGATTGGCTAATGCACTAATGTTTGAAGCAGTAAAACGAGCATTAACGAGTGTGAACGCTTTTTCATTGTGACGTCATAATAGAGCGACGCAAAAACAATGCTCCGTGACGTATTTTATGTAAAAAAAAAATCAACAAAATAAGACGTAAACAACAAACAAAATGCATGGATTGCATTAGAATGTGAATAACTAATCTTCTAATTTAATATTTGCGACCGTTAATGCTGATTTAACGGTCGCAAACATCCGTTTTACCGGTGTAACGTTGAAAATTGACCCGGGGTTCATTTTTCAACGTTGAATATTGAACCAGGGGTGTTTTTTCAACTTTGAAAATTGAGACCAAAAGTCGTTGAATTCATACCCGGGGTCATTTTTCAACAGCTTGATATTTTTTTCTTATCCCCGATGACTTCAACGAGTTGAAAATAGACCCTGTTGAATATTGACCCCACCTATAAGAGTTTGAACATTTTTGAACTTGGAAGGTGTTTTACGGGATGTATCAGTATCTCTATATTTATATTTTGGTTTCAATTTTTTTTCCCTTTTCAAGAAAAATAGAAATAAACCTATCATCCCGTGTAAATATGTACATTTTGATACACGATTTCAGTTATCTTCAAGAATGACAACTTTATTTTTGACAATATTTTCTAAAATGCACATCCATAAATAACTACATGATGTACAAAGCCATGAATAGGGCATAAAACACAAATCCTGGAAATCTGGTGTCTAGGAAGTGAGCCGTATATAATATTAAAGTGATCAGGTGGGCAGAACATCCCATTTAGTCAAATTCAGTTTAAAAATTAACAAAATTAAAAGCCTATAAATTAGAATTAAACACATCGGTCAAAATGAATCCATTGATAGGTTATATTTGTGAAAAGATCAATATAGCGACCATAAAATGTAAGTAATGTTGACTTTAAACAAGGTTGGTGAAATCCTTGTAACAAACTTATCTGTCAGTAGCCTGCTTTGGCCTAAAAATCGATCGTTTTCGGAGCATAACCTTGAAAATGAGAACTAGAGTAAGAATCTGGGATGGACTAAAAGCTGCACTTCCCACCATCTTTGATATCAACAATTAAAAAACGCCGTCTATGCAACTTCTTTTGATCTTAACAACTAAAAAGTGCATTCCTCTTCAAAGAAACAGAGAGAGAGAGAGAGAGAGAGAGAGAGAGAGGATCCTAAAGTTTTTCTCGGAGGCGGGGGTATGGTGTCAAAACCCTCTGAAATATTGTGACAAAAAACATAAACCAAATGAATAAACGAAACGCAATAAACAAACAAGCAAACAAAAAATGGAAAGGGAAACTAACCAAACCATGTTTCTCTAAATGGATGGAAGGGCCGCTTCAAAAATTCCTCACAAATTAAACTGTCCTGTGTTTCCCCGATTCGGTAGGGGGGAGGGGGGGGGTCAATGTTTTATTTTGGCTACTTTATTATAAATATTAAATAACGCTGAAAGTTAGGGTTGTGTATCTAAGGCAATTTTTTTTTATTAAAAGAACTACAAAAATGAAGAAAACAGCCCAGTCACAAATACAAAAACAATAAAACAAAAAA